TTGTCTCTCCCACTGCAACAGTCTTCCGCGAGAGACGGGAACATGGAGACTTGGAAAAAGCTTCCTCCAGGCGACCGGCATAGCGAGGGGTGCTATAGCTCCGCTACCGCGAATCGGCAGCGGACAATTTGAGCCCCGGGCGCCGACCAAGCGAGGGCTTTCGCTTCCCAAATTCCCACGTCTGGTCCCGTCCCGTGGCCCCATGTTTCGCAACGACGAGAGGGGGAGAAACGTGGGAGAGGAGGGCGAGGAGGACCACCAGGGCCGCCTCATGCGGGGAGCGTTACATCATTTACGAGGGGGGAGGGGAGGGGTAAGCCGGAGGGCCTGTCTGGGGGTGCTGCGTGCTTCTAGAAAGCTTTATTGAATGGTGGCTGGGGGTCCCTGAAGGGGGGGGAGGTGGCTGCGTGGGCAGATTGAAGATTCTGCAGGACTGCAGGACGCCGGCGTGGCAACCACGCGACGAAAAAAGGGCATCTCGATGAGCAATGGGCACTCGATGAGGCAATCTTGCCAGCTTCACATCACGCCCCCCCTTTTGGCCCTTGGAGCCTTTCTCGGGAAAGGATCCTATATGCCTGCAGTGGTCTGCCTTGCTGCAGTCTGCACGCTACGCCGAAATGGACGCCACGGCGTCGCATTCTCATTCCCAACACTCCCCGTTGCCCGAGGTCACCGATGAGAGAGTCTTGATCGACGATGGCAAGGGACGAGAGGAGAAACGAGGAGGATAAATACCCCGTCGTATTCTCCGCTCTTCTTGGCTATCTTACCTTTCAACCATCAACCATCATCCTTTGGTTCCCTGTCGGCTCGGGTCGTCCCTCTCCCTCCCTCCTATATTCCGCGCATCTCAAGCCTTTCCCCCCCCTCGGCGCATCCAGACTCCCGCTCTGCTTGGCTGCCCTTCGGCCCTTACTTCGTCCCCCGAGTCCCTCTGACGTCAGTTGACTGTCTGTCTCCGCCACGATGCGTTTCTCTCTCGTCTCCCTCACCTCGGGCTTGCTGCTCTCTGGAGCCGCAGCCACCTTCCAGAAGCAGTGCACCGATGCCGACATTGTTGAGCACACGGGCAACCCCGCGGGCACCATCCAGGTCATCCAGAATGGTGAGCATCCACCCTCCTCTCCCCCCCCCCCCGATCGGGACTGACTTCTGACCTCCCCGGCAGTCACCACGTACATCTCAGCCCCCAACCCCCTTAGCCTGCGCGCCCTGGCCCGCCGAAACACGGCCGTCATCTACCTGACCGACGTCTTTGGCATCGAGCTGCTCCAAAATAAGCGGCAAGTCCACCCCCACCACCCCCACCACCCCCACCACCCTCTTCTCCTCGTCTAACGCCCTCCAGCCTCGCCGACTCCTTCGCCAAGGCCGGCTACCTTACCATCGCCCCCGACATGCTCGAGGGCGAGGCCCTCCCCACCGACCTGAACGTCCCAGGGCTGAACCTGACTGAGTACACGCTCCGCCACGGCCCGGCCAACGTCGACCCCATCGTCGCCAAGGCCGTCGCCTACGCCCGCAGCCGCCCTGGCATCACCAAGGTCGCCATCACCGGCTACTGCTTCGGCGGCAAGTACGCCTTCCGCTTCCTCAGCGCCGGCCGCAACGTCGACGCCGGCTTTACCGCCCACCCGAGCCTGCTGGTCGACGCCGAGATCACGGCCATCACCAAGCCCATCGGCCTCGCCCTCGCCGAGACGGACACCATGCTCACGCCTGCCCGCCGCGCTGAGATGGAGGTGCTGCTGCAGGCCACCAACAAGCCGTACCAGGTGTCGCTGTACTCGGGGACGGCCCACGGCTTCGGCGTGCGTGCCGACATTACGGATCCCGAGCAAAAGTTTGCCAAGGAGGAGGCGTTTTTGCAGGCGGTGCGGTGGTTTGACAACTACGCATAAACTGTTCTAGCGAACTTAAAGGGATTTTTGTCGACTTCTTGTACATACTTGGATATTTTTGGTGTGCTTTTGGGTCACGGATAGGGGCAGGACGGGTTGGCTTGTTTCGCCCTTGGGGAGGTGTTTTTGTTATTTACTTGTTCGGGTCATGATACTCGGTGGTAATATCTCCTGATCTTGAACGAGATTCGCATCCCATCTGTCTCTTCTTTACTGGTGATGTGGATGTCGCAGGCACTTTTCCCCAACTTCTGCGGTACCTACAAGTAGCTGCCATGCCGTGAAACCTGACTTGTCATCCTGCAGGTACCACGACATGGCAGGTTAGCGTACCATCTTCCTGGAAATGCCATCCGTGGGTCCGAGTCCTGCAAGCATCCTGTGAGCGAGCAGAAGGAGTCCACCTTGCATAGTACCTACATCTCAGTAACCTTGAAGCCAAGACTAGTATGGACAGCAAGATACTGATACTAGGAGCCAACACATTCCACTTCTATTCCTGCCTTTGCTTCCCTCGCGCCACCCATGCCTGTTTCCCATCACCTTCAAACTCCCTCCCATGTTAACCCACCGCGCCATCAACCATCCAAACCAAGAGACCTCTTCCCCTTATACTAGTATTTCCCCCCAACCCCCTTCTCCCCCATCCCACCCTTCTCCCCCCCCCCCCCACTCACTATCAAGAACCTCCCTTCCCCCCATCATATCCCACTCCAACCAACTCGCCCTCCCCCTCGCCCTCCCCCCTAGTATCCGCCCTCCACGCTTCAGCCCAAACCAAACGGCTCCAACAGTCAACTTCATCCTCGTGCCCCACATCCTCCATGTCCTCGTCGTCTCAGCACCTCGGCCGGGAGGACGCTCCGCCCTCCTCCTCCTCCAAACCCACACAGCAGCGCCAGCGAGGAGTATGACAGGCACAACAACAGTTGCGATAATCCCCCACGGAGAGAGATCCCTCCGCCCTCCTCCCCCGCTGGGCTTGGGGCTCTACCGGGGGGGCGGGAGTCGCTATTGCTGTCGTTGTCGTTGTTGAGGCTGTTGTCGTCGTCACCATCTATTGGGCCGCCGAGCTTTGGCGCGCCGCCGGAGCTGGAAGTAGTACTACCGCCAGGGCTTGTACCGCCGGGTCCGGAGAAGGAAGGCGGGACGTCTCTCTCCGGTCTCGTCGTCAGTGGCGAAGGGGGGGGTGTTGATCCCGTTTGGGAAGGGGAAGGGGGTGCCCGGGGCGGATGGGGGGGCGGAGGCGGAGGCGGAGGCGGAGGCGCGGGGTGCCGAAGGGGACGGGGGGCATTGGGAGAGGGATTGGGAGAGGGGTGGTGCTGGTTGGGAGAGGGGTGGGATGGGGGGTGTGGTGGGTTTGGCTGAGGGGGGTGGGGGGTGGGGGGTCTCGGCTGGGGCGCGTCCCGGTGAGGGAGTCTCGGCTGGCTGGGATGTGGGTGTCGGTTTGTCGGGGGTGGGAGTCGGCAGGATGGGAACGGGGTTGACGGTGGAGGATGGGGCGGTTGTGGTCCGGAGGCTTGTGGGGATAGTTTGGGTGGCGAGGGTGGTAGGGATGGGTTGTGTGGAGGAGGACGCTGGCGTTGGCGGCGTTGAAGGGCCTGGGGTGGGTTGCTTGGAGGTTGAAGGGGCGGGCTCGCTGGGAGAGGAGGTCGGTGTACTAGAAGAGGGGAAAGCGCTTGAGAATACTGTCGGTGTTCCTAAGCCATCCTTGTCGTCCCTGTCCGCGTTGGCGATGAGTATGTTCAAGGGATCGGCGAGGAAAACGCCTAGCAAGACCCTTGGGGCCTTCGAGCTTGCTAGAGTGGCGCTGGAGATGCTGGTAGCATTGTCAACCCTCCATCTAAGTCTAGCGTCCATAGCTAGGAGAAGAAGGGAGAGGAAGGCGATAGGATGATGGAGCAGCGTCTTGGGCTTTCGGTTGCGAAGCCATTGCCTATCGGCGAGACGGCACTGCTCTGCGCGACGAACCCCGGACGTGCTATATGTAAGCTTCCCAGCCTCTTTGTCCCCAACAACAGCATGTCACAGGAATTGTTCAGCAGATTTAAAGATCACCAGGCCGGGTGTGGTTGGTCGACGAGGGGAATTCATACACTTCGTAGATTCACGAGCATTACGAGTTCACATAGCCTTGAGAAAGGGCTGAATGGTCGGCTGGGGTATTTTGGTGGATTTATTCCACGTCGATGGGGGGAGCATTGCTGTTTTAGAATTCTCCTCGCTGTATACTAGTCCAAGACTCTGAACTGAGGAACTCGAGGAGATATGCAAACATCCGCAGGCCAATTGATAGCTAAGGAACGAACTCGAGCACTTCGAGGAACAGTGCAAGGTCCTATGTCCGAGAATATTGACTATAACTACATTTCCTTAATTGGACAGGACGAGAAGAGCAAAGGAGACAGAACCTCCTGCTACTAATTGTACGAAGTGGCTGCAAAGCCGCTCGAAACCGCGAATCCAACACGTATTCGAACCCCCCCCCCCGTATGCCAACAACAGAGGCCGGCCCCCATATTCAGGAACCCTCTAAGTCTGGATCTACTATGTCACAACTCCTCGTCGTCCCACCAACAGCCTCTTTGCGTACGAATCCACCCGACGTGATGTTGTTAAGTCTTTGAGACCGCAAAGGTGCTTCAAATTGTGCATTGCGCGCTCTTGCGGAGTCATCAAAGTCCAAGTCCTTGTCTGATTCAGACACTGCCAAGGCTTAGGCCAGGGATACTAATGTCATCAACGCAGCTGTGTCGTCAATGTATTGAGCTACAGTTTTGACATCTACAGCCTCAGTGCTCAATGGCGGCCAAATCTGCTGGCGAGGCAATTCATGATCAGCAAGTCGTATTCCACCTCCTATGTGTTCGGCGGTGTAAAGCAGCTCCCCGTGTTGCCAGAGAGACAAGCGCCAAACGCCCAAAAAGAAAACCAAGCCCATGACGTCCCACAATCCCATCGTAAATGATATGCCCACTATCAGAATTGAACTGATGACCTTGTCATTACGAGTGACACGCTCTACCCCTGAGCTAAGAGGGCGACAGATGTTGCCAGCGACGAGAATGTGTGAACAACACCGACGTCTGTATACTGTGTCCACTATCAGAATCGAACTGATGACCTTGTCATTGACCTATTACTAGTGACACGCTCTACCACTGAGCCAAGCGGGCATGCTTGAATTGGTGCGGTTTCGCTACGGCAAGGTGCTCCATCACACTTGCCTCGATGAGTTGTCAAGACCCCATCGCCAAAACTTCAAGGTTTAAGTGCCCACCAGAGATCTACCTCTGCCCTGGGATCCGATTGTGCGACCATCCACACCGCCTGTGTGAAGGGGATATCCAACTCCTCCTCTTCAAACTTGGGTCAACGCCGCGCGGCAACGGACTGGTAGGCATCAGGTTCATGGGGGAATCCTGTGCAAGTCTCTGAGCCAGGTTCGCGTGCACGCTTGACGCGTGAGGTGGGCGGTCAGGCGCACCCATGCTGTCGTCGTAAGCGCACCGTGGGCAGCTGCACCGGAACACGGTGTACCGATGCCCCGGCAGTCGTGAAAATTATCGCCCGAAATGGACGCCAAGTGATAGGGGGAACCTCTCCCTCGTAAATACACGGGGCGGCCAACCAGCAACCTGGCAACCGGGAGCAAAAGAAGGCCGGGAGAAAGCTTGAAACCAAACCCACGCGGCTCTGCTCCGCTACTGGCGGAACAAAAACAAGGGGAAGGAAGGGGGTGAAGGAGCCGCGCCCTATCGCACGGACGGCAGAGCCAAGCAGCTCGTAAAAAAGATGCCAACGGGAAACATGGGGCCAATGCGCGGTTCCAGGGTCCCTGGTGATGCGCTGCTCTCCATGTGAGAGCTGTTAAGCACAAATCCCCGTCTTGTGGAAAATGGATGCATCCCAAGAGATTGCAACCAAAAAGTGCGGGTGTGTGTCCAAGGGGGGTGGATGCGGTAAGCGCGATGCTGTGTTTGGATAACGTTATTCTCGGTAGCTTCTGTTGCTGTCCGTCGGGGACATCAGGTCGAATAAGAGAGGCTTGGGCGGTTTCGTAGCCCCCTCGTCCTCGCTAGTGGGTAGGAGGGCGGTTCTCTTCGCCGAGCTCGTGTGATACAGATACATGGCAAGCAATACCAGCGTGGCACCCCAGGTGGCCTGTCCGACGCCTGTGTTAGAGATAAAGACCTTGTGGGCCAGGAGGAAGTGGCTCACCGGGAGGGTCAGAGGGGTCCTGAATATGATGGCCGTCGCCGCATAGCTGACGACGATGCTGAAGCTGGCAGCAAAGTTCTTGGCGACATTGCCCGCGTACACGATGCACACGGCGACGACGAGGCCTCCAAAGGCCTGCAGGGCAATCGTGGCCCAGACGACCGAATTGTACCCCGCAAAGAAGCCATCCCGAGCCACTGCAGCGCCGTCTTTTGCGATGACGCCGATGAAGAGCGCTGGGAACAGGCTGAAGAACGACAGCTGAACGTTGCGAGTCCAGAGCGACACGGAGGCCAGCGAGTCTTTGACGAGTTTCTCAAAGTAGACGCAAGTCAAGCCAGAGATGAGCGAGGCAGCCATTACCGCCACTAGCCCTTTAACGGCCCCGGATGTTGGGCCCTCCGACAGTGACACGTCGCCCTGGATCAGCGACGTGAGGCGGTCCTTCCAGCTGTCCGAGCCCAGAGGCCCCGCGACCTGCACCACCGCGACGCCCGCGGTGAGCAAAACAAGGGCCAGCCATTGCCGTGGCGTGATTGTCGTTCCCAACAACAGAATGCTGAACAGCACGGTCGTGAGGATCTTGAGCTGGTAGGTGACCTGAAAGGTGACGGCATCGAGATGGCTGATGGCGGCATAAACCAGCGAGTTCTGGAGCGTGTACAGGGCGGCGGGGACCACGAGCTTCCAACTGTCGGAGGCGCAAATGGATCGGCGGAGGTGCAGGAGAACTTCGAGCCACGAGCTAGAGGGGTGCGACTTTCGCATGTCGCGGGTCGCAAGGGCGAGGCTCACGAGGAGCTTGAGGGCTTCGACGACGAGGACGGCGGTCGAGGCAAGGTATCGTGGCTCCGAGCCGGTCGGGCTGTTGCGCGAGTGGTGCATGACCATGACGAGGGCCGAGTTCTGAACTACCAGCTGCGTCCATCCTGTTAGCAGTGAGGCCCCTTAAGACCACTGCTGCAGGCTGCGGGACTGGCATCCGCATCGCGCAGTCGGAACTTCGAAGAGGTTGAGGAGCTCACCAAAATCAGAGCCCAGTTCCCCGCGCCGGCCCGCTGGGAATCGCCTTGGCGCAGTCGATCGCCAAGCATGGTGCGATGCTGTCACGGGTGGGTGGACCTGGGGTTCGTAGGGCTGTGGAGAGGGGATGGTGTCAACGGTCGCCGGTCAAGAAAACAACCGTGACGCTCACCACCCAGAGGTCGGGCAGGACGACGACATGGTTGATGAAGGCTTGTCTCGAGGCGGCTGTCGAAATTGGACCGCATTGGTGGAATGGCGCTTGGCCTAACCTTTCACGCGCGGCGCCTCGTCCCCTGCCGCGCCGAGTGCCAAGAAAAGATGGAAAACGCTTGGTGCAAGCGACGGATCGGGGGAACTGGGGGGGGGTTGGAGGTCGGGGTCGTCTTCCTGTGGGTGTTCGGTTCTGCGCCTTCTTCGAGGTCGCTAGACGAAAACAGGCAAATGCTGAGAGCACGCCGCCCGCCATTTCCGCGCCATGCCGTCTCCAGACTCCGCATATCCTAGGGTAAGCTCCTAGCCGGATCCAATGTGTGCAGCACGAGATGACTGGAATGCACACTGTGCACTTCACTGAGCCTGGACTCCGATCGACCACCGCCTCGGGCTGCGCTGAATTGCGATCGATCCTCTCATCTTCCATCATGCCGGCGGACGGCGACCATCCAGGCCGCCTCAGTCAGCCCCGAATTCACCTTGCCATTAATATTCCGACAGTAATTCCGCGAGATCGCCGGCTCTCCTCCGTCCGGCAACGACACGTTCAAAGACGCGCCCACGTGCCCCCGAGATGCTGAAGCTTACCGCCCCGACGCCGTCGCAGCTCATCGCCCTGGTGCCGCGACGGGCATGGCGCTGGATGCTGCGAGGAGCCGTAGTCGCCATGGTCCTCCCGGTGCTCCTCCAGTGGGTGATTGCCTACGTCGTCGGCAGCGATGCGAGGATCCTGCCTCCACAGCTGCTAGCCGCCAAAAACCTTCTCATCGTCACGGCCCACCCCGACGACGAGTGTTTGTTCTTCGCACCGAGCATTCTCGGGGTCCTGGACCGGAATAGGGCGGTGACGGGTGGACTGCTGGTCATGTCCACAGGTATGGGGCTTCTCCTGCCCATCGGCATTCGCTGCCGATTCGGTGTGTTGCTTACGACATTCAGGGAACAATTACGGCATTGGGGATCTGAGGAGAACGGAGCTTGCGGGCTCCTGTCGTGCGCTGGGCATTGACGAGAGCCGATGCGTCGCCCTCGACCACCCCGACCTCCAGGACAATCCAAAGGTGTGGTGGAATACCGACCTGATTGCAGGCATTGTGCACGACCACGTGCGCAAATGGGAGGTTGACGCTGTGCGCTTCTCTTTTTTCTTCTTCTCTTCTCTCGTCTCGTGGCCCTTGACCCGGCGAGCTGTTGGCCGCGACGAGACAGGCTAACAAACCGCTCAGATCATTACGTTCGACGAAGGCGGGGTCAGTGGGCACATCAACCACCGAGCGGTCAGTGCCGCTGTCAGGTAAGAAACACCAGAGTCCAGACTGACCAGACTGCCTGCTTCGGTTACGCAACCCCGCAAAGGCCCACGGCTGTCAAGTTCAATTGGCTGCCGCCAGCCGTTGGCGTGGCCGACTCCAGCTTCTTGCGTTGCTGACACCATTTCCCCATGCGACAGACAGTACGCCTCCACCCACGACGAGGCACCGGTCACCTTTACCCTCACCACCACGGCGCTCCCGCGCAAGTACACCCTGCTCGGCGACTTGCCGTATACGGCGCTGCCGTTCGTCTGGCGAATCATCGAGGCCCTCGCCTTTCCCGCAAACTCCGCCCGTCCAGAGGACGGCGATCGGGCCCTCGCCGCCAACTCATGGCACCGCTACGGCCTCACCCGCGCCGCCTTCGCGCAGCACCCCAGCCAGTACACCTGGGACCGGCACATGTACATGATAATCAGTCGCTATGTGTGGTTCAACGACCTCAAGAAGGTACCGCGGGCGACGGCGGGCCAGACTCAGACTTAGGATAGTGATTATATAGCTGTAAAGCATTTTCTCCTATGCGTTCACCTGTCCCCGTGAGCATCCCCACACCACGGGTTCCCATTTCTGCCCAGACGACCCTTTCGCTGGGCGTCCTCCAGGGATCCGAGGGACCCGGTCGCGCCAAGCCACGGGAGATGGCTGACCGGAGGTGGTGATTCGCTGTTTGCGTGCCATCGAGAACCTCAAGCTTCTGCGGGCTCAAAGCAAGCTTTTTTCGTGGGCCCGTCTAGGCCTTGGGCGACCAACACCAGTCGCCCTCGCACGCAATGGCCCAGGGGGATCTGACATTGGCACAGGAGAAGGGTCCGAAGGGGGCAAGAGGGGCAGGGGGCTGGCCAACGTGCATCGTCGAGACGCTGGGCAAAATAACCTAACCGGGCAACAAACTCATCACAGGTGCCGACAGCAAACTTTACCATGCAGTTCCATTCCGTTGCTGAAAAAGAGATGAGGCCTGCGCCGCGCCCAGAGTGCAATGGAAAGAGTCGGGCAGGACGGACCAGGCAAAGTCGCATCAGCCCAGGGAGCCAGGCTCGTACCGGGCGGGCAGGCTGCCGCCCAGCGCAGGAGGCAGGGAGCCGAAAGGATCACTCCGTCTTTGGTGACTGGTCACGCACAGTACGAGGAATTTACGCGGTACCGATTCGAGCATGGCGGGATGGGTCAAGCATTTTTGCATTTGCATTTGCATCCCACCACCCTGTTCAGCCCAATCTCATCCGTCTTTTGTTTGAGTGACACCACCCCTCTCTGCGCGCGCCAGTGACATGGGGGGGAGGGGGATGCGTGTCTGACGAGGGTGTTACTGTGCCTCAGTGCCTCGAGAGTGCAAACGGCCAACTTCTAGTCGTCCCTCCCATCTTCCCTCCCCGTCGTTGGCGAGTCTGGTCCTGACA